TGTTGAAACTAAAACTTTAAAATGTTTCCAATGAATTTTAAAAGTTTATCCAATAAATTTTAAATGTTTATATGTAAAACAATCATAAAACTTACCATCCCATAATTGTCACTCCGCTTCCTTTCACCCCTGGTACCAAATCCAATATTTGACTGCAATTTTGTTAAATTCAACCCATTTTTGTTAACACGCTTTACACGATACTAGAAACAGCCCAAATGAAAAATTCTTTAAACAGAAATACACACAGGGTAACGACGGTCCATTTCACCACCATATTCTGTTGAAGATGTTGGATGAAACTCCATTTTGGACCAAGGATCCGCTGGAATACCATGACCACTATTGAATATAAAACATAAAAATGTTTCCAATTAATTTTAAAAGTTTCTCCAATAAAATTTAAAAGTTTATATGCAAAATAATCATAAAACTTACCATCCCACAATTGTCAATCTATTTCCTTTTTCTCCTGGTACCAAATCCAATATTTGACTGCAATATTCTTCAATAAACCCTTTATTGTCAACACGTCTTTACACGATACTAGAAACAGCCCAAATGAAAAATTATTTAGACAGAAATACACACAGGGTAACGACGGTCCATTTCACCACCATATTCTGTTGAAGATGTTGGATGAAACTCCATTTTGGACCAAGGATCCGCTGGAATACCGTGACCACTATTGAATCTAAAACATAAAAATATTTCCGATAAATTTTAAAAGTTTATTCAATAAATATTAAAAGTTTATCCAAGAAATTTTAAAAGTTTATATGCAAAACAATCATAAAACTTACCATCCGTCAATTGTCACTCTATTTTTAGACGGAAATACACACAGCGTAACGTTGGTCCATTTTACTACCATATTCTATTGAAGATGTTACATGGAACTCTATTTTGGACCAAGGATCTGCTGGAATACCGTGACCACTGTTGAATCTAAAACATAAAAATGTTTCCACTGAATTGTAAAAGTTTATATGTAAAACAATCATAAAACTTACCATCCCCCAATTGTCGCTTGGTTTCCTTTTTCTCCTGGTACCAAATCCAATTAACACGTTTTTACACGATAATAGAAACAGCCCAACTAAAAAATTATTTAGAGAGAAATACACACAGGGTAACGATGGTCCATTTTGCTACCATATTTTGTTGAAGATGTTGGATGGAACACTATTTTGGACTAAGGATCTGCTGGAATACCGTGACCGCTGTTAAATCTAAAACATAAAAATAAATTTTAAAAGCTTATCCAATAAAATCAATGAAAGATTTTTTAATTACAATTAGTTTGCGTATTGTTCTTATAATAATGTTTTTTATGTTTTCTTAAAAAACTATCAAATTCTATTATTGCAGAGTACCCTATCACTTTGTGTACAATTAACAGAAAACATTGAAATATAAAAAGATAAGGAATGGTCCAAATAGTTAAGGATGTGGGATGTTCTAGTTTTAGAAAAATGTGAAGATTAGCTCAGGATTAGAAAAAGTGGATGCGTGTCCAACCAGTCTTGGTAATGACGACCTTATGATGATGATGATGAAGGGATGGTCCTTGAATGTTTTCAACGAAAGCAAAAAACAGAAAAACATATGAATTGAGTGAAGTGAAATTAGCAAGAAAATTCAACGACAAACTTAGATAACACAATTAAGAAATTCAAAAGGTGCCAAAGAACATCAAACAAAAATTGACAGATTGTTGCGCCATTTAAGTGAAGATGTTCAATTGTTTCCTTTTCTAGCGGTTATCGTAAAATTTCGTAAACTTTAATACTGCATTTTTAAAGACAATCTGTATTTTCATTACACAAACCACACAAAATTGGTTTAAGAAAAGATGGCAATTAAGACAAAAAAAAAAGGCGATAAAAAGTGAGGAGAAAATTAGAAGAGAGGAAAGTAATCCACCTAAAGAATGCTTAAAAGTAAAAGACAAGATACAATTACATACTAGAAAAAGAGAAGGAAAAAAAGGAAAAAGGACCAATAGCAGAAAAGTGGATGATAGAAAGAAGAAATTACTTTCTAGAATGGACACCTGACTACTATAATCAACTCTTCTATTACAAGTATTTATGGAAAAATTCTTATTATTATTATTAAGCATTCTGGAATCTATAGGAATCGACTTTTCAATCATATAAATCGATCAATAATTAGCCATAATAGCCAAATCAATATTGGTCAACATTGACGCCCCCTGACGGAGAAACTAGTCATAGAATCGAAAAGCGGTTTAGTACTTAAGAACACCTTCTCTATTCAAAAGGCAACAGGATAGTTATCCACTTCTTCGGGGTATTTTAAATTTTGCATCAGAAGTTTTGCTATATATGTCTTTTCCTTGTTAAAACAACCACTTCAAAAACCTTACCTATTTTGACTTAAACACGTGGGTTAAGTCCCAATTAACAAAAATTCACTTTTTGTAACAATAAACCTTAATATAGTAAACAATAAAACCGTTTTCGTCGTTTAATTTGGCTCAATAAACTCAATATTCAAAATTATCGAAATCGGGTTCGTTGCTTGACGTAACGTTGATGTCTCCAGTGCAAAAATATTTCAAAAAATCATTAGACAACTTTCCCGCGCATTGCAACGCAGTATACCGACCTTAACACGTTCTAAGATCATTAAACCATCCACCAAAATTAAAATTAGACAATATTAACGTGCGTTTGTGCTTTATATTAGTCGACAAAGTTCAAAGTGGTAAACAGTCACGTTTAACAGATGAGTAAAAATTGAAGCAGTCTTCACGGTGATGGAACGATATTTAAAATTTGCACAAGTGACCTATGAATATTCTTAATACTTAATGATTATGAGAATAATTACCTAGAAAAATTTTCTATTTCATTTTAAATATCTACCAGCAAATCTACTACAAAATTCTAACTATGCATTCATTTGAATAGAGATGTGCAAGATGGTTTTTTAAAAGTATTTAAATACAAAGAAATACACACAGGGTAACGATGGTCCATTTACCACCATATTCTGTTGAAGATGTTGGATGAAACTCCATTTTGGACCAAGGATCCGCTGGAATACCATGACCACTATTGAATATAAAACATAAAAATGTTTCCAATTAATTTTAAAAGTTTCTCCAATAAAATTTAAAAGTTTATATGCAAAATAATCATAAAACTTACCATCCCACAATTGTCAATCTATTTCCTTTTTCTCCTGGTACCAAATCCAATATTTGACTGCAATATTCTTCAATAAACCCTTTATTGTCAACACGTTTTTACACGATACTAGAAACAGCCCAAATGAAAAATTATTTAGACAGAAATACACACAGGGTAACGACGGTCCATTTCACCACCATATTCTGTTGAAGATGTTGGATGAAACTCCATTTTGGACCAAGGATCCGCTGGAATACCGTGACCACNAATTTTTGTTTCATTTAAAGATATAAAAAATGTAAGAATGCTAACAGTTTGTTATAGTTTTCAGAAGATTCTATTTTGTTTCTTAAGAACAGAGATGTGATTTATTTGAAGTACTTGCATTGAAAATGTAAATACAAAATAAAAAGTACCTATTTTTATCTTGCATTTAAATACCTTTTTCAGAAAAGCATTTTGTATTTTATTTAAAATACTTTTCCAAACGTATTTTCTATTTGTAAAATGCAAAATACATTTTTGCCATTAAAAGTTTTGCTTGTATCACCGATCAAACATTATGTAAAATGATGAATGAAAGTTGCTCACATTGGCCATTAAAGGTATAAGAAGCTTAAAAGGGGACAAAAAAACATTCCATGAATGTCCTCTAATTCTAAATTCGAACTGAAAAAATCCCAAAAAATTCTAAACTCCTTGGAAATAGATAATCTAAAATTTTGAATCAATATTCTTTTCCGGGTTCAATGTCGTGGTCCATGGAATTTTGGAGTTCCAAATTAATATTAGCACCTGTCAAATCACCACTTATTTCTTTAGCAAGGAACTACAAAATTCTATGAATTACGATAAAACAGCCCTCAAAACAATTTCGAATTGATATACTCCAGCTATTTAAAACTGAAAACGACAAGATATTGTGATGTGCTAATAAACGCCTATAAATCAAAATTCTCAGAAACCTATTCAAAAAAACACTCACTTATTAGATGAGTCCAAAGCTAAAAAAACTATGGATTCCATTTCATTCTTTTATTACAATATGTAAAAGATCAGAAACAAAATAGGGTTATAAATAATTTGATATAAAATGATTGGGGTTCATTTTACATCAATAAAATTATTTGCAACCCTACTTTGGTTCTGATCTTTCACGGTAAACAAACTATTCTGACATCAGTGCCTTTTTTCCAATTAAAACGGGTGACCAAGAATAAATATGGAAGCATATAGAAGAATTATTTGTTGCTGAATTGAAGAAATATATAACATAAAGATAGAAAAACTATATCTGAATCACTTCAAACAGAAAAATCTGAATCGTACTCAATCTTCGCAGCTGGTGATATAATGCAGACACCACTATTAGTCTAAAAAAATTAGGAGGGTTAAAATGTGAAAAGATGTGTCAGGGAACAAGGAAAAGATTAACTAAACATGAGATGAAATTGGAAAAGTAAAAACAAGGGAGATACAAGGAGGAATATTTAAAATATAGAATATTAAATACTGATATAAAACATAAGACACATAAAGGAAGAAAAGAAGTTTTGATGGAGTCGATGCTAAGCCAGGAACAATTAAATGAATGACTGAAGATTTGTTTACCAGAAAAATTGGGAAAATAAGATGTATGGAAATAAGGTAGGATAAAAATTGACAAGTATATGGAATACAAGAAAGCTTTGTTATGGAAGCATCGGCAGGATAATAGAGGGTCAGAGTATGTGTTAGGGAAGGAAATGGATGTGGGTAAATATTGAATAAAGAGAGAGGAAAGGATACGTAGAATATGTGAAATAGGTGATGAAACTTCGACATCTACATGGGTTCAGGGGATGTAATGAAAGTAGGAATTTCGTTAAAAATAAGGGAATAGTAAACGGATATGATCCTATTAAAAAAGATTTTGGTAGTTAAAAAAGGATGAAATAAATAAGATGGGACGGAAATAAATTTGAATAAATCTATTTAAGAAAAATAAGGAATGCAAATTCAAAATGAGGGAGGAATACAAGAAAGCTTTGTTATGGAAGCATCGGCAGGATAATAGAGAGTCAGAGTATGTGAAATGAGGAAATAGCAACGTTGAGGGTAGAAAATGGATTTGTGTAAATAAGTCAATATTGAATAAAGCGAGAAGAAAGGATGTATAGAATATGTTAAATAGGTAATGAATGATGAATGAAATAAGCTTGAATAAATTTATTTAGGAAAATTAGAGAACGCAAATTCAGAATGGAAGAGGATAAAGAATAATTTGTGAAAGGGAGTAACTCTGTTACAAGTGTTGGGAGAATATGTTGAGAACAAAGGAATGGATGAATGTAGATGCAGGGTGGATGATAGTAACAATGGGATAGAAATTATATTAAAAAAACAAAAGAAAGGGTTGAAAATTAAGGTGATATAAACGAGCCTATGATGCATTTATATAAATATATAAGGGGAAGAAAAGATTAATGTCTTTATTTGATGTAAATAGAAGAGGGTAGTTGTAAGTTTAACTAATTTTTCTCTTTTCTGCATTTAATTATATAATAAAAGAAAATAAATTCAGTAAATTGGAGAAAGATAAAGTCCTTCGTAAAATGTTTTGCTTTGCTGAAATTACAATTATGTATTTGATCGAAAAACAAAACACAAGTTATCAACAATGAATTTGTTCAAATCCTACATTTTCAAACACAGAAATAACAATAGTAACCCTATAGGACATAATATATATA